ACTAATTATAGATTTATAAAACATATATCTTAAAATTCTAAACACTAAAAAATGTTTTGATACCTAAATTAAAACTCTTTAAACACTCAAAACTAAACCCTAATAGAACATAATTAACCCAAACATAAATAATATAAAGAAAAAATAATTTTGAAAAAGTGATATTTTGTAAAGATTTCAAAAGTGTGGCATTTTTGTAAAGTGGCATTTGAAAGTGGCATTTTTTGAAATTTCTCAAATTGAAACCCCAAAGTTTGATAAATTAGGATAATCAAAATTGTCAAAAAAACAGTAGAACATTTAAATTATTAAAAACAAATTAATATCAAATTTTTAATTATGGTATTTTGTATAATTTATCAAAAAATGCCACTTACATGGTTAAACGGCTTGGAAACATATTTAGAATAAATTGAAAAATTAATTCATAGACTTATAAAAAAAAGATGGGGCAATTACAAAAATGTCACTTTTTGTGTGCACATTTGCAAGAATGCCACTTAGGGGTGTCCATTTGCAAAAATGCCACTAATTATAGATTTATAAAGCATATATCTTAAAATTCTAAATCCTAAAAAATGTTTTGACCTCTAAAACCCCCTAAACCCTCATAACTAAACCCTAATAGAACATAATTAACCCAAACATAAATGATATAAAGAAAAAATAATTTTGAAAAAGTGGTATTTTTGTAAAATTTTTAAAAGTGTGGCATTTTTGTAAAGTGGCACTAAAAAAGTGGCATTTTTTGAAATTTCTCAAAAAAGATCGACTTAGTTGAGATTTAGGGTTCCATCTAGAAAGATTAAACAAAAAAAAAAAATAGATCGTATGGTTTTTCGTACAACTATATTTTTAGCATATTTAGATTGAATTTGTTTGGCCTTTTATGTTTAAGTTTCAAAATATTGGGGGCATAATTGCAAATTTTAATGGGGGCACTATCAAAATTATTCAAATTTTACATGCAGTTTGGAAAATCTAGTGGGTGCATGTGCCCCCATCTCACACAAGGTGCATCCGCCCCTGACTATTGTCCAGAATCTATCGAACATGCTGGTGGGTAAGGCACTCCAACTATTGGTGGGACGAATCTTTTTGCAAATGTTTTACTATTTAATTTTCTATATAATAAATAGTACATTGTGACCCAAAAGAAAGAAATATAATAAATAGTACATTTTCTAATTTAACAATGTGGTCTGCATACTTTCAACTCCCTCTCATCTCATCCCGATTCATGAATGACCAACAAATAATCATTTTGCACAAAAAACTTAACATGGCTAAGCCCAGCACGCTGTTTATATATGTATTTTTTAATCTATTAGTATTAGTCAACAAATGATTTAACTCTACTAGTTTTAAGTAGAATTATTTTTTGTAGTAAAGATTCATTGGTTTAGAATTATTTTTTGGGTAATGCTTATACATTACAGCGCAAATTCTCCGAATATGGTCGACTTTTGTTCCTATCCAGTATCCAGACCATAGGGTGATAAATCACGATGTAGATTCTAAAATAGAATACTAGTACAACTTAATAATGATCTTTTTCTTTTGTCGTACTTACTGATGATAATTAATACTCGCTTTTATAAACTACATGTTAATCGCCATGTTGTTAAGGGTATCTCTTTGTCTCTTTATGAGTTTCGGTCTCTTTTTGTTATTCATATCGAAAAGTACTTTTGTTATGCCATGTGTACTGTATAACTATATTTTCATTGATTTAACTCTTTTCTAAATTTTGTGTTTACTGGAGTTTGAGTTGACAAAATTTTACTTACTAACTGTGCGAATTTGCTTATAATGGTTCAGTATATTGGGCGATAAATCTCCTGAAAACTAAAAGAACAAGACATCTTAAAACCTTAAGACAAGAATGTATGTGTACTTAAAGGATTTTCCAACATTTAACTCGGAATTTTGATCGCGAAACTAGTCGAATACTAAAAATATTCAGACGATAGTGATGAAAATTGAGTTTTTTTCTCACATGCCTGAAAAACATCGTTCATGAATCATGGTGTATGTATGCTATTTATGAGCTAGTTTTTGGTTAGTGAGATTTGATTTCGGAAAAAAGAAGAAAAGTATAGTAGTGCATATTCGCAAAAGAAAGATGAACGTCATTATAAAAACAATGAATTTGTGAGTTTTTTGGACCAAAAAAAGATAGTATAAGGATGAGCAAACGTGAATTAGCGAAATATTTCACATGATACTATACCTTGGCCTTATACCAGTGACTAGAGTGTTTTGGAAGCGAGATACTACCTTGCCGAGATCATCAACGGGGGAAAAAGTAACTTTTCTTTTTGCTTTGAATGAATCAAAAACGTTTTTTACAACAAATGTCACTTCAAGTTTGAGAGAATTTCATATCTAAACATAATTGTTGGAAAAAAATATGAAGACAAGTGAGAGCTCTCTAATCTCTTTATGGATGTCGTGTAGCGAACCACAAAATCATTCTTTCATCACAGGAGCTATCACGTGCTATGCGAATGAACTCAACCTGTTACGGACGTTCT